CACACACACACACACACACACACACACACACACACACACACACACACTTGGTTTCAAAGCCGGGTGGCGCTCAGAGGAGACAGGCGGTGCCAAAGAGGAGCCCTCCACTCCGTACCCCCAGCTCACACACGTTATGAGTATTTACAGATCACAGCACAGATTCTGAAGTTCTGTTTTAATGTCTGAATGCCACCCTAAAACTCAGAAATAGGACTTAGAAGACATGCTCACCATCACATTCCTACTTGTGAAGGCCCACCCAGATAAAATGAAATCTAAGGAACATTCTATGAGTAGCTCAAGTGAGCATAGGCATGAATTTGCCTCTGCCAGCCTGAAGATCCATTTCTTGCTTGGACTCCTTCATTGCACTGGAAAGGCAGTATTGCCTATTGGCTAAATGCACTGACTGTCAGAGATGGACTGGGGTTGGAATCCCAGATCCACACACCATTTACGGGCTGGGTGACCGCTGGCAACTGACTTAAGCTATGAACATAACTTTTTTCATTAGTTTTCATTTACCTAACAAGAGTGCCAGCCTCCTAAATTTATTGTGAGAATAAAATAATATAATGCACTGAGAAGAGCATCTAGCCTGGAGCAAGCATTCAACAAGGGTTAGCTGCCATTGTGCTAGTTGGTATGGTGGTAGTTATCATTATTCGATATTTAGGTGATGGAGTCTGGAGGAACTGAGCCAGAAACTGTTTCTTTCTTCTCCAACCTGCTCTCCCATTTTGTCTAGACACTGCCACCCAGGAGAGAGAAACAAATCAAGTCATGGCAAAACCCTGATCCCCATAAACTCTGAGTGCAGGTCGACGGGAAGTGTCATGAATCATTCCCTCCTGTCACATTCCCATCAACCCCATCTCCCAATCTAGTCTCTGTCCATGAAGGCACTCCAAATGAGATGACAACAGGATTTTAAGAAATAAAGAAGACTTAGTGAGCAGCAAGTGCCCGCATCTTACCTCTTCTTCATTCTCTGGCATATTGGTACTCAATTTCTGGACAACCGACTTGCCACTCGCCTTCAACATTTTCTCTCGAACTTTGGTTTCATATTCAGGCCGGGAGTGTTCCTAAAACCCAAGAGTCAATGCATAGTTAGTAAACAGGCAGACGAGTGACCCTGGCCTATGGGTTATAACCAGACACCACAAGTACAATAGGCAGGACTTAGGATCAAATGCTATTAGACATGAACTGTTACACCACACACGATCACGAGGAGTCTAGACCAGAAACACAATGTGGGGGAGAGAGGGGGGACACACAACAGTTGTTACCGCACTGAAAACCAAACCTGGGCACGTTCCTGGGGATGGGGCCGGTGTTGAGAAAGGAGAGAGGAAACGTTAACTGGGCAACTGAAACAAACAGAAGCGTCTGGTCATCCTACTAAATATCCTCATACCTCAAACTGTAAGTTTCAATGAGCCAAATCCCAGCTAGAGAAACAGACGTGCCCCACAGCTGGGAGTTAGGGCAACGACAAAACTTCTTCCTGCTCCATTATTCTGAAAGCTAAAATGGCAACCAATAAACATCAAAGTTAAAGATGGCCACAGGGAATCTTAAAACTCACTTGCCTGAACCTGTTTCCTGTACAGCCTAGGTGAGTAACTCATTGGCAAGTACACCAATGCTCAAGAGATATCACTGAGCCATTCAGCAATACAAACGTGAATAGTGAGTCACCAGGCACGGGAAAGAGCACCTAACTAATCAAGAGGACTATGGTCAAATCAATGCAGATGCTGAAGCAGGAAAATGCATGACTTACTTCAAAGAGAATTTAACAGTGTACACCTGGTCTCATTGGCAGGTTTTCCCTGCAGCATCCAAGGACAAATATCTAAGGTGTGAGGATTTCATGTTCCCATAGCATTTATCGATAACTCCTAGGCAAGGATTCAGGCGCTGGCTCACAGTTGACTCAGAGAACACATATTTCTTTACCACTGCTCACACATCAGAGATTCCAAAAGCCAATAAGCTAGGCTCCTGACCAGTCTTTGGCTTTCCCAGGACATGTCATGATATTGGAGAGGAGAAACCATGCACGTGGCTTATAAACATAACCAATAGAACAGGAGGTGATGCTATTCAAGGGTTTTAAGGCATCCCATCACTACCAATCTCCAAAGATGCATCAGCCCCATCCCTTCCATGACTTCCTGCTACGGCATACCTGGTGGAGTCTCCTCCCTCTTGAGTAGCCTAGAATTTTATAGCTTATAGCACACGCAGTTCTCAATTATGTATTTTTCTTTTATTATTTCCTAGCTGGTTTGCATGTGAGTCTTTTTATATCAATATGAGGATCTGTGACCTAATCTGTCTTAATTAGCACCATGTAGCACCCAGAAATCTCTAAATGCTTGTGAAGCTCACTGATTTTGTCTCTCACCTTCATCTATTCTCCAACACATCATTTCCTAATGTGTCTACTAAAAGAGTTATAGGTAAAAAAGGATACCAGTGGTTAAGAGATTGGAAAAGCCCACACAATGTATCACCTGAGAGTCACAATGAGCATATTAGAAGCTCTGAAAAGTTCTACTTTGAAGACACTTGCTTAATGTTTTTAAACCTACTATTTCTTGCAAAAATCCTTTTGCCTCCAACAATGAACATCCTACAGGAATACTTTGAGAAATTTGGTTTGAAGTTGTCCTCCATGGCCCCTGAAATCCGGTCACTTTTCATTTATATTATTTCCATGCAAGATTTTCATTAAAAAACTATCTTTTAAAAAAGCAGTATCTTTTTGGTGAGTACCATAATGTGGATTCTAAACCCCCTCAAGCTAAAGTTGTTTCTACCTTTCATACCCTGCAAAAGGGCTGAGGAACTTTCCCTACTGACTAGGAGGCTGCTCTTGACCTGCCTCTGACTTTCCAAAGACATGCCGTGACATCACACAGAGACATGTCCTTGCATCCCTCTAGCTGTGGCTGGCCCACCTCACCCCACACTGGGCCACCATTCAGAACCCCTCAACTGTTTAGAACAAGTTGAGCATTCTTGCCACATAAACAGGAGTCCAAGACTCTCAAAGAAGAGTCTTAGGCTGTTCTGCATTCCAGCTGAAGTAGGTCAGACAAGGATCTCTCTGTTTGTGGCCAAGAAGGTCGGGTGAGGTTACAGAATTCCTCAAAGGCAGGGAGCTGGACAACTGAGCTCCTGGCCAGAGCAGAATCCAGCCCCTGTGTGGGCTGCTCCAGTGTACCCAACCTCAGGCGGGTCCTCCTTATTCCTGATGTTCCTCATACACGGCCTCTCTGGATTGGTGGTCTGATGCAAAATAATCACAAATACATAACCCCTCCCATCTAGACTCTGGGAAATACTTCCCAAAGCTACTTCTACCTGGTTGGTCTCCTCAGGAGCTGGCTGAAGGAAGGCCCCAGGCCAGCTCAGGACCAGCCTTCTCTGATCTAAAGAGGTAGACCCAGAGATTCATTAAACAAATGTCTTCATCGAAGAGTTTTCAAGCTCCTACTGTGCTCTGCACTTTTTTCCAGGCTCTGAGGCCACAGTGGAGCTTGAGCTTATCTTTAAGTGGAGGAAGGTGACAATAAGCAAACAAACACACAAGTAAGAAATCAGCAGCTAGGGATAAGAACAGCAGAAGAAATAAAACAGGATGGCTGCTTCCAAATGGGGATTCAAGGAAGGCCTGTCTGAGGAGGGTAATGTTTTGGCTGGGATGGAAAAGCCAAGAAGGGATAGGCCATGTGGAGACTGGAACATTCTAAGCAGAGGGAACAGCCGGTGCAAAGACTAGAATGAGCTGGGGAGAGACTGAAGGTCTATGTGGCTGGAAGATCTGAGCAAGGAGGAGAATGACATGTACTGTCAGAAAGGGAGGTAGAGGATTTTGCTTCCTGTGTGATAGAAAGACAGGTAGGACACCTAAAACTTGATATGAGACAAGGGATGGGAGAGAGATGGAGGGGAGGACATCTATGTTCAGGCAAGAGCACCCTCTAGGAGGAACACCTGGGGCCTGACTGACAGAATCAGGCAAGTGAGGCCCACTGAGCTGAAGATTATCCCACTTCAGAGCAAAAGACTCTGGAGGTCTAGTAGGCCTCCCTTCAGCAAGAACAGGATCCAAAGAGTCGTTTAGTAAGTCCCTCGAGATGGCCCTCCTGGTTCCATGTGAAGGCCCCCTTAGGCAGGGGCCACACTGACCTAGGAAGTGGAGCTTGGATTTGGTTGTGCATGTCCTTCCCTGCCCTGAAAGAAAACCATCTCCAGCCTCCTACCACTTCTCCCTGGTTTACAACCTGAACTTGAGGCACCCCACTCTTTCAACCCTTCCTGGCTACATTAGCCAGAAGAAATTCCTCTCACGTATTCACCACTGTATTCTAAATATTTAGAGACCACAAAGCACCCTAGCTGAATGGAATCCTTTGGAGATGCTCAGAGACTGTTCAGATTGAACTGAATTTAAAGTGCATTTAATATCCTAGTTCGAAATATAAGTACATTAAAGGAAAAGACAAGGCTGTCCTCCCTTCATCTCAACCATGCCTGGCCCAGGGCACACCAACCATGCTGTAGAAGCAAGCCGCCTTGCAGTCACCTGACCCATCAGGAGTGACCAGAGCCCATAAGGAACCTCTCCTTGTGGCACAGGTAAACAAGTCTTGGCCAGACCACTCCCAGCCTGCACACGAGTTCCTGAAATCATGTACCACCCCGTGAACTTACCACTGATCTCAGGGTTAATCAAAAAACAGGAAACCTGGCTATAGAAACAAAATGGATTATCCTGCCACCCCTGCCAGGGGCCTGTGACTGAGATTCTTGAGGGCCCCGAGTCATAACCGATCGCTTTCTCTGTGTGAGTGTGTTTAAACCTCCTCTCCAGCAGAGATTTGCTGGCTTCCTCAGCTCTCCTTAGCAGACACACTTAGCTCGTCTCTGGCCCCATGCAGGCTTGGATGCCAGGATGTGTCTTCATCTCTTCTTGGGAGATATGCTAGGCCCTGCATTAGGAGAGCAAGGGCTCCTGCTTCCCCACACCCAGCCACAACTCTCTTCTCTCTCTCTCTCTCTCTCTCGGCTGAAGCAAATGGAACCCAAACGACAAGAATGTCCCAACCACATCAGACCCATAGTCCCACTTCTATAGCACTTTCTATTGGAAGCACTCCTTTGGCCATTAATTCCCAAGAAATGCAATTGCCTTCATTATTCTCGGATGCTTATCCTCTTATTTGTATCCTCCCTGAAGGTAAAATCCACGTGGATGTTCTATGATCTGCCACAGAACCCATGATACCGTTAGTCTCCAGGCATATGTTTAATGCACAGGCCTGGAACACAATGAGCACACGCACTCAATGCTTGGGGATGGAATGCCCCGCTGCTCAATTACAGCATCGAGGAGAAGAAATGACACCATAAGACAGACATGTGAAGCCACACAGCCTTGAGAACAAGACTAAATCGGAGATTTCCTTGTTTGGTCATAAAACATCAAGGCCACAGTCAGAGGGCGGAGCAAGATGGCGGAGGAGTAGGAGACCTGGATTTCGTCTGGTCTCAGGAATTCAGCTGAATAGGGATCAAACCATTCTGAACACCTATGAACTCAACAGGAGATCGAAGAAAAGAGTAGCAACAACTCTCTGAACAGAGAAGCGACCACTTACGGGAAGGTAGGACGTGCGGAGAAGTGAATCCGAGGTGATATTCGGGAGGATAGACGGCGGGGGAGGGGGCCTCCGTCGGCCGCTTCTGGCAAGTGATAGAGCCGCGGAGCACAAAATCGGACCTTTTAGAAGTTGGCT